AATTTACCATCAGCACAACAGGAACTCACTCCTAGGCCTGGTTTAACCAGGGGAAAATAAACACAAAAAGGGAAGAACAAACTTGGTTATTCCAAGGAAAATAAACACAAAAAGAGAAGCACAAACTTGGTTATTCCAGGGGAAAATAAACACAAAAAGTGAAGCACAAACTTGGTTATTCCAGGAGAAAATAAACACAAAAAATGAAGCCCAAATTTGGCTATTCCAGGAGAAAATAAACATAAAAAAAATGAAGCCCAAATTTGGCTATTCCAGGGAAAAATAAAGACAAAAAAATGAAGCACAAATTTGGTTATTCCAGGAGAAAATAAACACAAAAAATGAAGCACAAACTTTGCTATTCCAGGAGAAAATAAACACAAAAAGGGAAGCACAAATTTGGTTATTCCAAGGGAAAAATAAACACAAGGTCCTTTTTGTGAGGGTTGATTTTCCCTCCTAAAATAATGTCCAGATTCTTTTTAGAGGGTGGATTTTTCCCTCCTAAATTAATGTCCAGATCCTTTTTGGGAGGGTTAATTTTCCCTCCTAAAATAATATCCAGGTACTATTTAGAGGGTTGATTTTCCCTCCTAAAACACTCTCCAGGCCCTTTTTGAGAACATTGATTTTCCCTCCTAAAATTCTCTCCAGGTCCTTTCTGAGAGGGGTAATTTTGCCTCCCAAAATATTGTCCAGGTCCTTTATGAGGGTGTTGATTTTCCCTCCTAAAATAATGTCAAGGTCCTTCTTGACAGGGTTGATTTTCCCTCCTAAAACACTGCCCAGATCCTTTTTAGAGGGTTGATTTTCCCTCCTAAAACAATATCCAGGTCCTTTTTGAGAACATTGATTTTCCCTCCTAAAATTCTTTCCAGGTCCTTTCTGAGAGTGGTAATTTTGCCTCCTGAAACATTGTCCAGATCCTTTATGAGGGTGTTGATTTTCCCTCCTAAAACACTCTCCAGGTCCTTTATGATGGGTTGATTTATGGATTTAATATCTAATCCCAAGGGTTCAGGGGAGATTTTTTTTTTTCCAACCAGTTACTCCTTTGCATCCACAAAAAAAAAAAAAAGAAAAATAAAAAAGGTGCCACTTGTGCTACTCTTTAAATAAAGTTTCCAGCTGGATCAGCCAGAATTTTTCAGGTTGGTTTTGGTTTTTTTGGGGTGTTTTTTTTTTTAATCACCCCGGGGATTCCCTGCCTGCTCCCAGACCTGCTTCCTCTTGGAGCTGGGAAGAGCGTCCAGCTCCGGCCAGGCAGCATTCCCAGAGGATAATTAGGTAATTAGGGTTGATGATGATGAGTCTCCCAGCTCAGCATCTGCTCTTCTCCTCAGGACAAAACCCCCCGAGGTCGGGAGGGACCTTCCCACACAACCCAAGGAATCCTCTGAGCCGAAAAGGCAAAAAAAAGGTCTTTATTCACATACAAAAAAAAGGCGGTTGCATAGAAGGACAGGCGCGTTCCTAACCCAAAAAAAAAAGTGCTTTTACACTCAAAAGCCAGAGCCAGAGTTTTGCCATTCCAGCCAAAGCAGCTCGTAGCATTTTTTTCCCCCCCCGGAGCAAGGAGGAGACCGGGATCATCCTGCCTAGGCGGGACACTAAGCCAGGCCTTAACTCAGCGCTAAAACAGCAGCGTGGCAAAGCTCAGGACACCCAGGACTACACGAAGCAGGGGGAAGGTTTGACATGCCAAGGGATGGTCCCGGTGCCTCCAGGCCCTGGGCACGGAAGGTCTCTGAGGTTTGGCTCCGCCGCATCCCCTCAGTACTCGTCCTCCTCGGCCTCCTCCTCCTCCTCCTCCTCCCCGTCGGCAGAGTCCCTGCCCACCTCCTCGTAATCCTTCTCCAGCGCCGCCAGGTCCTCCCTGGCCTCGGAGAACTCGCCCTCCTCCATGCCCTCGCCCACGTACCAGTGCACGAAGGCCCTCTTGGCGTACATGAGGTCGAACTTGTGGTCGAGGCGGGCCCAGGCCTCGGCGATGGCCGTGGTGTTGCTCAGCATGCACACGGCCCTCTGCACCTTGGCCAGGTCGCCGCCGGGCACCACGGTGGGCGGCTGGTAGTTGATGCCCACCTTGAAGCCCGTGGGGCACCAGTCGACGAACTGGATGGAGCGGCGCGTCTTGATGGCGGCGATGGCGGCGTTGACGTCCTTGGGCACCACGTCGCCGCGGTAGAGGAGGC